AAACAACCACTTTCTTTTACAGTGCAGGCTGCATGTACAGTCTTGCAGGATTAAGTAAATGAAGCCAATAGACAGACCTTCTATTCCTGCAGAGCTTTTCAAACAGGTCCAGTGTCTGAGTGTAGTTAGACACTAAAACCACCTTGTCGTTACTGGTGCTTTTTGTAACAGCAAGGATGTAGTCCAAAACCAGCATCTTTCCTGGATAAAAAGGAAAGAAAGAAGAAAGCTATAGCAGAAGTTTTCAAATTCCAGACCTGGAGGGGCACTTGCTAAGATGCTAAATATAATCTCACAGTTACCTGTGTTAGGCAGTACATTTGTACTGTTGAGTTTTACATACCTGAGAGTTGAGGCTCCACAGATTTGGTGCTGTAACCAGCAGGGAACAAGTCCAGCGCTCCCATAAAACCTTCTTCCTCCTCCACACATTTATCATGGATAAGAGCAGGGTCTGGAAAACAAACAGAGCTCAGACTGTGGAGTGCACAAGGGAGACCTCAAAACCCCTCCCATCAACAGTGCAAAAATCAAACCCACTGCATGAGCCGAACAACTCACGATTGCAGAGCTTCTTCAAGGAAGTAATGGAAGAGAGAGACGACACGCTGATTTTTCCTTCCTTCAGCTCCTCCACTGGCTTGGCTTGCTTCAGGAAGTTCTTGTACAGCTCAGCCTGCAGAGGTGTCAGTCTGAAACAGAACAAGAGCTCTGCAGTCTCAGTCTGCGCCCAAACCAACCCCATCTTTCCTCCACCTTCTACACAGTGCATTCCTTTTAGCTCAGTTTTTTTAGCGACAGCACAGACAGCCTAGAGCTGTCTCTATGGCTGATGGCAGAGCATTGGTGTCTTAGCCCCGAGCTGAAAAAGAAGCTTGCAGATACTCTGCACAGCCTGGGGCTCGGTTGCCCAGAGCATGCCAGCTGGCTGGCAGAACCACCAGTTGTGGGTTGTCCATTCCCGCTTCAGGAGGAAAAGCAACATATTGCCAGTGGCTACAGCCTGACTTCTAGGAGGGAAGCAGTCACCACACTGACAGTCTTTTTGCAACTTCTTAGTCCTTCCTGTGGTTCCTCTCATTTCCCAGGCAGACCACAAGCTCTCTGGTACCTGCAGCAGACCACCTGCTCGATCTTCACCGGCAGGTATTTGGACAGGATATCTGAAGTTCTTCGGATTAAACACCTGCAGGGAGGCAAATTAAAATCAGATGTTTGGATGACATCAAAACCCTGTTTCATCACTATCATTCCTCACAAGCTCAATAAAAGTCCCTTTGATATCTCCAAAAGTCTGTGACAGTCCAACACACCGTAAGAGCCAGACACCTGCTATCTACACCAAGTCATGCTAAGAGACTCCATCAGCCCATGTTGCAGAGCCCAGCTGTCATTGTGAGGCTTCCAAATTCAGTTCATGAGATTTAGAGGGATCAGGCATGATTCCACCTAACAGAGGCCAGTCCCTTACAAGAGAAACTCAGCTCTTGCTCAGACTACCAATGGCATTCTCGACACAAGCTGCAACAGAGCAGTGGCATGAACAGGATTTAAACGACCACACACCACAGACATAACCCAAAGCACAAGCAGGCAGCTCCCCATGTAATAACTTCATAGTCTTCCTCAGTCAGGGTGGATTCATTGTCTGGCCCAAGATTTCAAAGGGCATATCATTTGGGGCTCTAGAAATGCCCCATGGAGCTGTTCTACTACATTTTAGAAAGATGGGACAGACTAGAAAACATGCCAAACTGAGCAACCAGAATAAGAAAGAGGTGCAGAAACCCAGTTCTGCCAGGAAACATCAGGGATATATGACAGCTCCAAAATCTGTCAAAGGCTGTTAAAGAAAGAAATAATCTGGTCTCCAAACTCATACGCAGTAGGATGAAAAGTAAAAGGCTTAAAACTACAGTAAAGAAGATTTATGTTACACATTAAGAACATTTTCTAACTGCAAAGATGATGATGCCCTGGAAAAAGTGTCCCGGGGAATTGGTAAGGTCTTCAACACTGGGTAGAGGTTAAGTAAGAGATGGTTTAGTCTCACACCTTCTACCTTAGGACCACAAGATGGATTAGATGCCTTCTCCAGGGCCCTTCCAGCCTTATGCCTATGATTCTGCACATCTTTGCGTAACTGTCTCATTTGTAATTCCAACCAAATTCAACTGATTCATCTATACAACTTATGTGCTTTACCTTCCCTATTTGTGTATCATGAGCGTTGCACAATGAAGGACACAGACCTCAGTACAGCCAGACACAAGCATTACTGAATACGCTTTTACATTCCTTTTCCATCAACTATAGAAAGAAGGAATATACTTTTTTCCTCCCAATCTTTCCTTTCTCTTAGGTTTCTGCAAGCTGACCTGAGTCATGGGAAGGGCTGTCTCTACAGAGAGGCTGTACTCGGTGTGAAATTCAATTTACCATGACTATGAACTGCAGGATTGTTTGTGATGGTTCCAAAAGCTCAGATTTAAAAGAAGAAAGAGAAATGAAGACACCAGCAATGCTGAGAATTCAAGAGTCTCTAGTAAAGAGTTCTTAGAGACAAGTGATTGCCAGCAAATGTAGATAAATTGGTTGTATTCATGAATAGAAAAGAAACGAGGTTTAAACAAATATCAAAAATCAACCAGAGAGAAAGAAGACAGCATTTTACATCACAGAGGTGATTCTTCAGGATGAGGAGTCACATCTCTGACACCAGTAGTCTAATCCCATTAGCCCTACAGACGCAACACAGCTATGTGAGCTGGACTCATTTGTGGCTTTGACAATCAACAGCAGGACTGAGCAGCATTCCTTAAGCTCTTTCTGCCTGCCACTCAACATCCAGACTCGATGGATCTCAAGTCTGACCCAGCGTACACTGGAGCTACATTAGCACAAATAAAAGGATGTTGCCTGACTCTTTAGATTCCAGGATAAAACAGAAACAGAAGAGTCAAATCACGATTCAGTATCTGAGTACGTTTGCTTGGGGGTGACTATAGCTAACTGCACCATGTCAACATGCTATTTTTCAGACTAAAGCTACATGCTATGCAGATTTCTTATGCAATAAATACTTGCACAATCACTTGCTAAATAGATGTAGCTAGCAAGAGAATTCATTACAGCTACAATTGTAATTTGGAAGGAGACCAATGTTCACCCAGGGTTTGCGCACAAGCTCTGCAAAGAGAAGAGGGATGAAGTTCACCTGTTCACAATGCTGATGAGCTCTTTAAGCCTCTCTTCTCCTTTGTGTCGCTCAGCCTCACTTGCATCTGCATCTCTGCCTTTCAAGATGGGAATTTCAAAATGCCTTTTAAATTCCTGTGCCGTCCCTGTTGAAAACAGAAACGAAAAGACGACAACTACTACCAAATAACCTTTGATCAGTACCCCACAGCCCCATTATCACACCACTAGCATGGAGCCCAGCAGATAAAACAAACTGTCGCCCCATCGGTATGATTTGTTTTCCTTTCTAGCCAAGAAAGACAGGCAAATCTGCACAACAGAAAATAATTTTGTATTCCAATGTTAATGCACTGCCAAAGGCCATATAATTTTAGTTAAACCCAAGTCCAGTCATGCATGTACTGGTTCTGCTCACATTCCAGCTATATTTTACTCCCAGATTTTGTACTTGCAAACAACAGCATAGGCATTACGCGTGCCAAAATTATCTGGAACCAGTTGCTTATTACTGGTCAGAGGTTGAAAGTGGGAAAAACGACTACTGCATGCATGCAGCTTTGCTGGTAGTAGTTACAGTATTAACCTCACCTCTGAGAGAATGAACTGAAAGTACAGCGGGCCTAGTCTTGCCCAAAGTACAGGTCAAAGGGGGCAGGGGAAATCACATTAAGTCCCTGTAATAACTGACCAAAATTGAAGCACATGAAAAAAGCTGATGTAGAACATCTATCACCCCATCGCATCATTTCCTTGGGGGCAGAACAGCTCAACAGAAAAGGATACAGCCCAAATGCTGCTTTTAAGACTAAAAATCTGATTAACGGTGTTTAACTAGAGTTGTGCATGCACTAGAATTAATGAGAAGCCTCTTGAACTAGCCAAACAACCTGAGACAAACATAGGTGATGAGTTACAGCAACAAGGAAATGATTTACAGATTGGTTTATTTTGATTCCTTGACACACAAAACAATACCTCTCAAGACAAAGCCAAGCTGCTCCACACTGGAAAGCAGCAGACCTGCTCCCAGTTCAGTGATGCAGAAGAGGATGCAAAGACTAGTTTGTTTTTGAAATGAAAACAGAGCTTGCAGACATAAGCAGAGCACGGGAATCAGAGGCAGAATATTTCAGTCTGCTACCAGCAATTGTACAAGGCATTTGATCCTGAAAACTCAGACTAATCTCTCCTCCAGGTTTCTTTCTTTCTATCTCAGATGAAGTTAACCCCATATTTGCAGCCCTCCCTTGCCTTAAAAAAACTCCAAACACTAGACACATTACCCTCCGCTTTCTCTCAGATTATCTGGAAAGGGGATGGCAGCTTGTCAGAGATTCAGGCTTTGCTGCTTAGCTCTGTCACAAGGTACATCATTCTGCCTTGCACCAGTCACTCCAACCTCCTGTGCCACATGGATACAAGAGAGAAAGCAGGGAAAAGCTGTCTCCCCGGCTGCCTCTGTACTAAACACTGGGAGCATGTCATGTCAAACCCTCCTCTCCCTGGAGCCTCCCCTACAAAGATATCACTCCTAGCTTAGACTTTTGAATTTGTTACAGCCTGGGAGTGTTGTTGGAAGTCCCATTACAGGCTGGCTCTTCCTGCCCAGCAGCGCCTGCAATCTCCAAGGGCTTACTGGCAGATAAACTCCCAGCCTATGTGGACATTTTGGCTGACCAGAACAGCTACACAAGATCAACCATGTAGTACTCACGGTCATATAGTCATTTTACCTTAACTAATTCCCCTGTGAAAATACCTGCTAGAAGGGAGTACTTCAAACTACAATCTTGAAGCACAGTTCTGATGATACGCAGCCTCTAGAACAGGGGACCCAGATCTAGAATTTCTGGATACAAACTGAAGGAGAATAAGTCTCCAACTTGTACACGACCTTGGTTGCTGCTTTGCTGGCACTGGTAGCTAGAGGAGGCCTTGCCAGCAACTTCCCCCCCATCACTTCTCTCATATGTTCAATTCTTACCTAGGATGCCTGAATTGACAAAGTGCACCAGGCTGAAATACTCAAGCAGGTCATTCTGAATGGGAGTGCCTGAGATCAGGACTCGTCGAGGCGTATTTAAGCTGTTGAGAGCCTGATATGTTTGATTTTCAGAGTTCTTCAGTCTGTGGCCCTTTAGGGGAAAAAAAAAAAAAAAAAGGAATGAAGCTGATAAATCCACAGGCCTGGATGTGAAGCAGCTTGGAAATCCTCATCAGCAGTGATATGCTGTATCTCCCACATGACATCCCACCACTTTTCCCATTCCTGACAGCGTATTCAACTGCTGCCACAGACTTCTTTTTCAATGGCAAGAATCCGATGGGAAACCTGAAGCCATTACACGAGGAAACACAACATTCCAAGCTTCCCAGACCAGGAACACCTGAGTCACACCCAGGCGAGACAGCCTACCATGAAACTGTTTGCTCTTCAAAGATGGGGATTTTTTCAGCTACCAACACTAGGCACCAGACTCTGGACCAGTAACATTGCATCACTCAAGGTCAAGATCAAACCACCTACATCTGGGATTGCCAGGCCTTTGCACACTAATAAAAAAGAGGTTTTGCACCTCTTATGGGGGTAATCTAAATGCAAGGGCCCACTTAACAACGTGGCTTGGGAAAAGCAGCGTTATTAGCATTTGAGTGCTATGCTGCAGGACAAAGCAGAACTGATGAGATGCTTTTTACAAGTGCCAGACCACTGCAGAGCTGAGTATTTATTAGGAATTCGTGGAAGACAGAAGGCCAAGGACCTGCATTCCCTGCACCCCTAGCTGCTGCCCCCATCCCAGGGGCACTGAGAGGTGTAGGCAGTGACAGACTCGGTAGACAAAAGGAGGATGAGTGTTATACTTGTGAGGATGCTCACTTTTTTTAAGCTCCTGTCAGCACTGTTCTAGCAAATACAAAACGGAACCACAGGGTGGCACCGCTATTAAACAAATCCCCTCTAACTGGCGGCAGAGGACACAACAGTGGCTGAGGCTGCCAGCTTCACTTCAAGGAGGCAGAGGGCATTTGTTTTATTTTGTCCTTCAGAGCATCTCTGGCTCTCACAACCTGTAACCACAAACAGGACACAATAAATGAAGACCCAACTCCATTTGAGCCATGTGAAAGCAAAGCTTAACAACACAAGCTCAGCAAAGCTAGATCCAGCAGCCAGTGAGGGGGGAGTCAAGCCAGGTCTATCTCCTCTTGAACAAGCAGGACATGAGGTAACTCCTCACCCAGCTCTCCTACCTCTACCCCAAGCAAGAGACTGTACAGGAGGGAAGAGGGTCCTGCCATGGAAATGCCCCCACTAGCACAGAATGAAGGCAGCCAGATAAAGTGGCTGATGGCAGCCAACACTACCCACGAAAGCCTGCTGAATCACAGCATCATTTAGGTTGGGAGAACCTCCGGAGTCTCCAGTCCAACCTATCGCTCAAAATAGAGACAAGTTAAAAATTGCTGGGCAGAACACGAAGCCAGGCCAAACGGGAAGCATTTCTCACTTTAGCAAAGACGGAAACAAATGAAAACCAGATCAGCACAACAGGGCACTACCAACCCTAACAAAGATCTCTTTCAGAGTCAGAGACAGGCAGGGGACCTCCTTTCTGCTACATATTTCACACAGAGAAGGGCCTAGAAGGAGCTCCCATCCTGCCAAGTATCTAGAAAGTGGCTTCCTATCTCAGCTCCTGAAAACACCCTCTCTTGTTCAGGGTCACTCAGTATGGATGAGCCAGTTTCCCAGAGCCTCTCAAACACCAGAATGGGCACTGTTCACAGGTAAACCTTGTTTACCTGCCCTCCCCCCTTTTAAGAAAGCAAAGCGAGTTTTGCCCAATACCAGGAAGAGACTCTCCGTAAAGATTCCCCTGTACCTCATCACATATGACCAGCCCCACACTGCCCTTCTGTAACGCCTCGGCGTGGAGTCGGAAGGTCTCATAGGAGATGATCAGGATGGGTGAAGGCACTCGCAGGCCACGCTGGTTCATAAAGCCAACTGCAGATGGAAAAGGGGAAAAGGAAAAAAAGAAAGATGAGGGGAAAAAAAAAATAGAAAGAGGTTCAAGCTGCAAGGTCAAAACTTTTGCCTTAAAAAGCTAGGGAAAATATGTCTGGTTTGTTACTCTGTAGCAGCCCTTCCATCCGTGTTCTTCTCCCCACAACTGCCCCTTTTACATCCTCCTCCCACCTCTGCCCGCTCCTGTCCTGGGCTGCACTGGGACTGTCCTAACTTAAACGCATGAGTGGACTCGGATTATTCCAAAAGAACAACTATTACCAAACAAGCAAGGGCCTCATTTAAACATGTTAGTGAAGGGACTTTCATCAGTCTCCAGAGCTCTAATGACAGCTCAGAGATGTTCACATCAGCTACTGTAGGCTTCTTCCAATGCAAGATTTTGATGTAAACCAGCCAACCATATCATTTGCAAACATTTGTGTACCTAATTTACGGTCAATCTCTTCTTTGGAGCCTCCGTCAATGGCCAGTGGCTGGATCCTTCCCCCCAGCCATTTCTCTACTTCATTGTACCAGTTTCTCACCAGGCTGGAGGGAGACACCACCATGGCTTTCTCAATTTCAGGCTTGCAGTCCGGACTTTGCCGGAGGAGCGTCCACATGAGCGTGATGCACTGCAGGGTTTTACCCAGCCCCATTTCATCTGCCATGATACAGCCATGACTCCCGGGGATCCGTCGACTCGTCACACAGTCCCAGAGGAATTTCACTCCCTGCCAAAAAATTGTTCTCTCAGAGCAGGATGGGGACATCAACAGAATGACAACTTTATTACAGCCTCATTACCACAATGCACAGGACTGATACTACAACAAACAGCAAATCTGTGTAACACATCCCTGGGGATGTGCAGCGTTCTAATGAGACAGAGGGAAATCACTCGAGACGCAGCTAAAATGCAGCCACATCTGGTCTGGAACAACATTACTGGTGCCAATACATACCTTACAACATGTACAAAATCTTAAAACATTTTAATCATACAATTATAACGAGCTTCCTGACATGAATTCCCAGAAATTTCTACCCTTAGACACATCAGATAGGCCCAGGCCATCAGCTGACCTGCATCAACCACTCTAAGGAGATTAATCATTTTAACAATACCCAATTAGGCAGTTTTAAACACACAGAATCAAAGAGTATGCCCTCATTGCTTCTGCCTAGAAGTGCAATGACTCACAAGGTCCAAAACAGATTTAGCTTCAAAGACATAGGGCTGAGGTTACAGCCCACGATGCATGGTGGAAGAGCTCAGTTCTGCATTAGGCTCTGACACATCACCAAGACATAAAGAAAAAGGGGAGAAAAAATAAATACAAAAAAAAACCCCAAAAAAACAATAAAGAGACAGACTCTGCAAAATGTTCCTCTACCACATGATGATACGGAGTCAGAGAGCACCAAGGCAATTGTGCTGGGAACACACAAGCTCCCCGCACTGTGTCAACAGAGCAGGGAGAGGCACAACCTAAACACACCCGGATAGATTCACCCCTCTGTGCTCAGGACTGGAAGATGGGGCACCCTGCATTTCCAAGTAATTTTCTGTGCTTCTTTCTTTCTTAGGCCCTTAATAACAGGTTAACGAGGATTATTTAAGCCCATTGAGCAGTTACAAAATACGTTACTGACTAAAAGAGTGCATTTGACTGGGATCCAGGTGGGTGGGTAACTTCTCAGCAAGTGGGCAAAAGGCAGGGCACAGGTGGAGCAAAGTTGTACAACAGTCTGGGAGCACCACCTGAATAAAGCAGCACAGGAATCTCAGCAGGCAAAGGCTTATTAGTCAGACTAGAAGAGAGACTGCTTCACCACAGATACCTAGCTGTCAAAACCAGACAGTGTGCCTAGGACACCAGCATAACTATTATTACTTGACAAAAACGCCAGCAGGCAGTACCTTACTCCAAAACAGAATGCCTCCAGCTACATACCCAGAGACAAGCATTACACAGCTTCAGTACCAACTCCGAGATAAAAGCACAAGCTAGGAGCAGCTTACAGCCCTCTCAGAGCCATCTGAAGATCTCTCACGCAGGGGCACATCCAGCTTGACCTGCTTAGCCTGCAAGATCAGCAATCACAGCTTCCAGCTGTGCTGCCTCTATGTTTAAACGATAACACACTGCAACTGCAATGAACTTCAAACTGTCCAGATACCTACATTAGATATTTGGAGATTAGTGCTCACTGCTTTGATATTGTAACATTGCACATATTTAAGACATAAAACTTTTTTTGCTGCTCCCCACTGATAAATTCTAAGCCTACATAGGTCAGGAACAGGTCACACCTACAAGGATAGCCTCCAAAAAGAACACGATGAAGTAGGAATCTATTCCACACTACGCTGGGGACCATGGTACCAGAAAGAATAGCTTCAATGTTCCCTGGCTCAAACAGAGACTGCGGATCCAGTAAATTCTGCTGACCAGCAAAAGAGTGATGGACAGTCGGCCCTGACCAATTCAAGGCCAGGCTGTAACACAATTTATTGCAACTATATCCCATCACCTTCCACGCTGAGCTCCACTCGGCAGAGCAACACCTCCAGACTTCAAGATAAATAAAGGCTGGACTTTCAGCCCTGACTCTGCAAGATCCCATCTCTCTGCAGACTCTTGTCTTTTCCTAAGGTATTACTGGTGACACAAAGTCAGCCAACGTACTCCCTAGACTTACGTAACCAGAAGCTCCACAGTTTCCACTATCAGCTGACCTGACCTACAGCCCCACAGAGAACACACCTGTGCATTGGGCAGCATCATGTTTAGGCTGGGAGTTCTTACACACAAAAAAGGAGTAAATTCCTACATTTTTAAGAACAAACATGGCTGTTGTAGTATTTCCAGTACGTCCTCTTATTTAACCCAGGACAGAGAATATTTGCAGCAGTCAGGCCTCTAAGAGGATGGTTAAAACGAATGTTTCACTTTGCAACAGATGAGTAGTCTGTTAGGTTGTCACAGACTGTTAATCTGTGAGGTCTATGTAGACCTCACAGTGGTTAGTTAACAATTCCAGCAGAGGAACTGCAGCTTTTTGAAATGCACCGAGGCCTCCAGCCATACCCTCAGGTCCTGATGGAAAACTTACTTCTCTCTGATGGGGCCGTAAAACACGGCTGAGGACAGGATCCACCACAACATGGACAGGTGCTTTGTCCCTGCAGGAGACAGTCAAGGAAGAAGACAGCGTGATTAATGAACTCAGCACAGCATATGTTTAGGTTTTCCTAAATCTCACTGCAATACTGAGGACTCCTCAGAGGCATGAGGGAAGCAACTGCCAACAAGAAAGTGAAAAATGGATTAATTCAGTTCTGAGAATGAAGTCACAGGGCCCTGATCTACAATCTAAAACATCAGTGAAACCATGTGTTCGAGCTGTGGTTAAAACAAGGGTAGAATATAGTTCAGAGACACAGTTAAAAGGTCATTATTATTTTCCTTGTTTCAATAACAATACTGTAACTGCATTACTGGAGAGAGGAACCCCCTCTTCTGTCCACAAAGATCCAGCTAACAGCCCTTTTAAGTTATAACAACAGAACAGAATAAACTCCTTCAGAACAAAAGCCATTAGGCAGCCTAACATTTGACTGTCAGCCATCTTCCTCTGCTGGTACCCAGGTGATGATGTTTCCTGATTGACAAATAAGCCATAAGATTTTCCAAGCAGCTTCTCCATGTGTGTATCCTCATTCCCTGCAACAGGTTTAAATTTCTAATGAGCGGTAGATGAAACAGTGTGTGGAAGAACAGACAATGCAGCATCGGTACACTCCTTTGATTATTACCATACCTGAACCTGTTCAGAGGCAGAATACTTGGAACCAAACTTCCCTTGATGTTCAGACCCCAGCTCAGACACATTTGGGAAGAATACACATAAACCTACACGTACAAGGAGGTCAGAGCTGAAGCATTTGTGCCAGGTGATGACTCACTTGTCTATTTTCAGCTGGTCGTGGGCACTCAGCAGCGGGGGCTCGTACAGAACCAGAGCTCCTTCCTCAAAAGGGTCATGGAGAGGACTCCTCAGCCCTGCCCGTTTGATACCCAGTGCACGCAAGCCCAGTGGCCCTGAAAAAAAAAACCAAAGGCACACAACTCAAAGAACAACTTCCTGAAAGCAGAGCCTTGCAGAAGAGTCTGATTACATTTAAGAATGGTGAATTAATTGGGTGCTGGAGCAAAGATGCAGGTACAACCGGTGCAGACAGAAAACCCACGCAGGGTGGTAGTTTGGCAGCACTCTGCCAGCACACAGCAGGCAGCTCTGCCGCAGGGAAGAATGCAGTGAAGGAGCAGAGGCAAAGGTGGAGCAATGGCACCACTTGCCACCCTGGGCGCACCAGAACAGGTACGACTGCGTGCAGCAGGTGCCATATACACCAGCCTGCAAGAGCATGAGCTGTCTTGCAAGGTGACCGACAGCTTCATCTCAGACCTGTGCCACTGGCATCTGAACAGGTACATCTCCTCAGCTATATCTTGGCATCAGAGACACTCCTAGTACCCAAAGGTGGCTGTTCTAGCTTTTTGAAAGACGAGCAGGATCTGAGAACCTACACCTCAGTAGCTCAATAAACACATCCCCACATACACAGTATATACTGCGTCAAATACTCTTTTTGGATAACCTAACCCAGACTTAGACAGAGTTGTATCTTCTATGCAAGGTCAAAGTTGACTTTAACAGCAATGAAGTTTCACAGTATCATACTTACTACCATACTGCCTAGGCTAGAGTATTATTTTCTCTCTGCTGGACAACAGTAGATGTTTGGCCTTGGAGCCAATTTCTGTGAAAAGCAAAAACCAAGCACGAGTCCCTCTTCCCAGTACTGTATTTTGATGCCACAGATTTGGAATGGATACGAACACAAAAAGGACATTCAGAGAAATCCCTTTAGCCAACAAAACTCAGGCAGCTGTGCTCCCAGGGTTGATTTTGTTTGGAAAAGATGCAAGCAGGGTCAATTTGCCTGCTGCTTGCTAACACTCCTTGCAAAACGAGAGCGTATCACAAGCTGAGACAACAGTGTGCACACACCAAGAAAAGAGCGCGTTGAACAGCCTCATCTCCCAATTAAGAGAACAAGATAACAGCCACAGAGAGCAGCTTCCCCAATCACCGTTCTGTTTCGGCCTCCTGACGAATCTGCTTTTCCACAAACTAATTTTGTCAAACTCTTCTGGGGCATGTCACTTCATAGTCTGTGTCTGCTTACAGACATATTTTTATAACTAAAGTTTGAGTGAAACTGGCTGATCTACATTTCAGTTTTTCAGCTGGAGGGTGAAAGAAGGGGACAGATCTTGTGTTTCACTGATTCAAACCAGCTGAGGCTTTGAACTTCAAAACCGCCTTTCTTTAAGATCACTCTGAGACTGAAAACACCAAGCCAAGCATAAAGAAAACTGGCACATACTATCTTTTTCACCTACAGCCTTCTGTCTGTTAGTACCATTAGCGTATTATTTAGATGGTAAACCTTCATTGCTTGGAATTCATCTTGTTTTATATTTGCAATATGGCATACGATCTTCTGGCACTACATCACATACATAGCAGTAGAAATACAAAATCCAATTTTGAAATATAAGATTATCCAAACTAAACACTAATAAGAAATATGAAGACTTTGCTAATATGCCAGTATTTTTCTTTCAAAATTAAGTCAGGAATTCTGGAACATATGCATCAGTGCAAAAAAATAACAATAATCCCCATAGATATATTTGACAGGCCAGAGCATCATCAGTTTTACCCAAGTCAGTCAACACAGAAAATCCTTAAACTTCCTCAACTTACCTTTATAATTTGGAATGGGAACTTTGAAGGGTTTGGACAAAATGCTGCGGATAAAAGCCTCCTAGGAATTCAGAAAGAAAACATGCCTAAGAAATCTGAAATAAGAGACTGCTCAGGAAGGCATGTCCAGGACATTTTTTAAAAGCTCAATTTTGCCAAGTGCTCAGAGACCTTCTATTCAATCTACTCAAGCTTCAACTCCAACAATTTCAAAAATATCAAAAAGGAAGAAAGTAAAAAACCACCACAATTCTCCCCCCTCAACTCCATTTTTCAAAATTATTTTCCTCTGGGTTTTCTAATGCATGAAATTGATTTTTCGTAACTCCTATCTTCTTAAACCCACCAGCATTATTCACTTCTTTAAATGCTATTGCTTCCCTCTGCCTTGGTTATTCAGTCAGGCAATTCATTTCCCAGTAGAAACACCCATGACCACCCAGTGAGCACCCAGCCAGCCCAGGAGCAGAAGTCTAGAATGAAGCAGATAGCACCTGAGCCATCTATGTAATGCTAACCACATCCCTGGGCACTGTCCTTCACCTACACCCCACGGAACTTTCCTATTCAGGATTTCCATTATAGAAAGCGCCTCACACATACCTCCTTCAATGTTAAATGGCTGGAGCTAGCAAAAGATCTTTACTGAAGACTCTGTGTGTGTACAGCACTTCCAAAACACCTCTGATTAAATGGTCCGTGCAAGGATTTGGATTCCCTTGATGAACGAGCTCCACATGCAACCCACCTGTCACAGAGTGCCACCTGTTACACCCACTTACATGTTGACTGCTATCCAGGCAGTGAGGTCTATTGGTCAACTGAGCCAGGGGTTTCCGGAAAGGTGACCTGTAACATTCTCCACTCTCTGTCTCACTGACAGGCTTCTGTCTCTTCCGAGTCTGAAAAACAGAAACACCACAAAACAACTCAGGGACAGCTGGTGAGACCAGAAGATAGATGCATCGCTGTCACACTCAGTAAGCACCTAACCACACACACACAATCCACCCAGCCAGCTGAGCAGCTCCGAACAGACACAATCATTACTCATGCCCACTGCCAAAGGAAGGAGGCAGCAACACCACCAAGGTCACCATGCCCTGAAGTCTAACATGCATGAAGGTTAAAATACTCTCCTAGTTAAGAAAATAGCTACCAATTTCTAACCTGTAAAAGGGCAGGCTTGTCTGTGCTAAGATTTGTCTGGTTCCCCACCACCAAAAAGCAGAAGAAAGAAAAAGGAAGGGTCAATAGCATGGAACAAACTACATGAGTCCCCAGAGGCTCCCACAGCATCTGTTGTTACACAGCTGAATGGCCTCACACTGAAACCTAAATTTCAGACACTTGGGAAGGCATGAAGGTAAATAAGTCATTGATCTGTTTCCTGATTTAACAAATTCCTCTTCAGATTGAGGCACAGCTTTAACCACCTGCATAGAAAAAGGGATTTGACACATAAAGCGCTAGAGGAGACTCTTTGACCTGTATGGCCGGGCACAAAGCACCATTACATTCTGTTTCGCCTTAAACATCTACTGGAACAGGCTGTGGTGGAATCACCACCCCTGGAGGTTTTTAAAAGGTTTAGATGAGGTGCTCAGGGACGTGGTTTAGTGCTGGACCTGGCAGTGCTGGGTTAGTGGTTAGATGTGATGAGCTTAAAAGCCTTTTCCAACCCAAACGATTTTACAATTCCATTTCCCAGTTACCAGCTCTCTTGCAAAACACTCGGAAGCTCTCCCAAGGACAGGTTTTTCCCTGTAACCAAAGCATCTTCCACACACAACGACGTTCTTCTACCGACCACGCGCCCAGACACAAGTTTTCTCCCAACTGGCGAAAACAACCTGACACCGGGGCCCAGCCCCCAGAGC